ATTAATATATCTTGGACATACCATTAAAATCGGCAAAGAAAATCAAATAGCCGAAATAAAAAGACGCATACAACTGTCTTGGGGAGCTTTCGGCAAATTAAGCTTTATTTTGAAGAATAAAGATATACCAATGTGTCTAAAACGTAGAGTTTATGACAAATGTATTTTGCCTGTAACTACATATGGACTGGAGACCATGGCCTTCACAAAGAAAACCTTAGAGCAGCTCAGTACAACCCAAAGAGCAATGGAGAGGGCCATGGTAGGGATTAGTTTGAGAGACAGGATTCGAAATAACGTCATTCGTGAAAGAACAAAAATTACTGATGTCTCAGAACGTATTGCAAGGCTCAAGTGGCAATGGGTCGGACACGTTGCCCGAGATAACCCCGAAAAATGGACACAAAGATTAACAAACTGGAGACCAAGAGAGAACAGGCGAGGAGTAGGCAGACCGCAGAAGAGGTGGACAGACGATATCAAACAAGTCGCGGGCAAGCAGTGGATGAGAATTGCCAAAAGTAGAAATCGATGGAAGCAAATGGAAGAGGCCTATGTCCAGCAGTGGACGAACACAGGCTGAAGAAGAAGAGAAGAAGATATTAATATTAATACTTTTTCGAAGTCTGTACTCGTATATACCATGGTCTGTAGTAATCTATTAAATATATAGCTAAATTGAACGGCCTTTTTTGAAGTTGAAGAGCTATGTTAAAGAGTTAACATTCCACCACGTCGCGCGTTTTAGTGCGTTTATTTGTAAAAAGTGGTTAATATCTTTAGTATCCTGATTATCTTTATATAGCATTGGATTTATCGTTTTTTTTTCATGGGCACCTTCTGTTGTAAACCGGCCATACTTCAGCCAGTTGGCTAATTGTAATTGTACATCTTTTCTTGTGCCCATGATAGCCATTCCAAGATTCTGGAACTCGGTACCAGCTTGTACAGGTCTAGAAGATGGGCACTATAAGTGTTTGAATTTACTCGATGATATTCGAAATGTGTTTGCCGCCTGCGATCTAATGATTATTATATTTAATTATGCTCCTCCGCTACAGAGTCTGCAGCTTTAGTTTCCATCACACAGACCCATTGTTTTCAAATGTGCTTTGACTGGTACATGTCTAGTAAGGAAGCCTGTTATGACTCTGGGCTAATCCTGCTTATTTTTCATAATATTTCAGCTGTATTAGCATACGTCCGGATGCTAATAGATGCCATACATGAAAGATGTTTATTTTGAAATATTTTTATTGATGAAAAGTTGTATAAATGGTTAACATAGTTGTTAGCTAAGTTACATAGTTGTTGTCTAATATTTATCGATTTTCACAAAGCCTTTGACACAGTTGAGCTAAGCAAAATATTACAGGCGCTTAAAGAATGCAGGCTAGATTATAGATATACTAAATTATTATACAAAATATACCTGCAGGCAACAACCACTGTCAAATTACATACTAACAGTAATCGCATAAAAATAGAACGGGGGGTTAGACAAGGAGACCCAATGTCACCTAAACTTTTTAATACGGTGCTAGAACATGCTTTTAAGAATTTGGATTGGATGACAAAGGGAATAAAAATAGATGGAGAATATCTAAACAACTTACGTTTCGCCGATGATATACTTATAATAGCTGAAGATCTAGGTATGCCAAGAAAGATGGTACAGGAACTCGTTGTGGCTACAGAAAATGTATGTTTAAATATAAATATCTCGAAAACAAAAATCATGACCAATTTGGTGCCCAACCAGAACATCAGTATTGGTGGGAAAGAAATAGAACTCGTAGATAGATATAAATACCTGGGACATGAAATTATGATTGGCAGAGATAACCAGACTCATGAACTGAAGAGAAGAGTCGGCCTTGGGTGGGCAGCATTTGGAAAACTGAGAGAAACTTTTAAAAGTGAGCTGCCCACATGCCTAAAGAGAAAGGTATTTGATCAGTGCGTCCTCCCAGTCTTGACGTACGGAGCAGAAACACTTACCTTAACAAAAGCAGCAGCTACCAAACTGAGAGTCACGCAGAGAAGAATGGAGCGGTCCATGTTAGGAATAACTCTCCGAGACAGAATAACAAACGAAGACATCAGGAGAAGAACCGGAGTGACTGACATCATCGAGAAGATAGCCAGACTAAAATAGAAATGGGCAGGACACATAGCCAGAATGACAGATGGGCGATGGACAAACAGGTTATTGGAATGGAGGCCAAGGGAAGACAAGAGAAGCGCCGGTCGACCACCTACAAGATGGACTGACGATTTAAGAAGACTCAATAAAAACTGGATAAGAGCGGCGCAATATAGACGGGGTTAGAAACATGAGGAAGAGGCCTATGTTCAGCAGTGGACTCTTGAGGCTGGATGATGAATGATAGTTGTTAGCTGTGATTTATCTCCCCTTGATTAGATCAGATTAGATTAAGAGAGGTGGCCTTTCGGCCTATTCCACTGCGACCTCTTCAGATCTATTGGGGTCCTCTAGTCCTAGATAACATTCCACTGCGACCTCTTCAGATCTATTGGGGTCCTCTAGTCCTAGATAACATTCTCTAGCCTGACCTTCTTTATAAAGCCTAGTAGCTTCGAGACTGTACCTTTCATGTAGCTATTTGCCGGTGGATTTTCTTCTCCTAATGCAAAAAACCGCACATTTGCCAGACTGTCATACTGACATAAAATGTGCTGTGCTGTTTCTTCTTCGAGGTGACAGAATCTGAACAGGTCATCATCTGATAATCCCATCAGCTTCAAGTGCCTATTCAGCTTACAGTGCCCTGTTAGAAGACCTACCATGGCTTTGACTGTTTTCCTGTCTTTGCTTATTAGGTCTGCCGTAAATTTTGGCAAATGTTCTGTAATGAACTGTTTCGCCTGTCTTTGTCCTGGTGAATTCCTCTACCATTCCACAGATTTGTGAGCTACCCACATCTTTGTAGCCGTTCTTGTTACTGATTTTGCAACACCGCAATGTTCCGGTCCAATGAATGGCATTGATGAGCCTTGTTTGGCCATTTCATTTACTTTATTATTACCCTTATGACCCTCGTGCCCCGGTACCCAGGCTACCGTAACCTAGCTACGGTCTCCTAGTTTATTTAGGGCACACACGCAATCCTATACTACCTTAGAATTGACCTCTACAGAATTGAGTGCTTTAAGCGCTACCTGACTATCTGTGAAGATGGCAACTGAACAGAACGTTCTCTCCTGCCTTTTTTGCCACGCAGTGATGAATTGCAGTTATTTCCGCCTGGAAAACTATCACATCCTTAGGTAGGCTTACCGGGAAATGTATCCCTTGATTTGTCCCTACTATGTCGGCTCCAACACCCTCCGATGTTTTTGAGCCATCCGTGTACCAGGTAGCAGCAGCTTTTATGGGTACACCTTTATTCCAGTATTTCCTGCCTGGTATCTTAATTGTGAATTTATTGTTAAAGCTATATCTCGTAGCTGTTGCATCGATAGGTTTCCCCATCACAATATCGGCTTTTAGCTCCTCGATTAGCTTTCTGTTGTCAGTAACATGCATCTGGCTTATATGTCGCTGACTAAGGATTAATCTGTGCATCACTGATCTGGCTTCGCCCTGTATAAAGATATGAAGTGGTGGTAAATTCAACAGGACTTCCAACAATGCAGTAGGAGTTGTTTTTCTTGTTGTCTCCCCTTGACTGAGCAATGCTTTTAACGGCTTTACAATCAAAATCACTTATTGATTCTGTCAGATTTAGATGCAGAAATAAACTCTGCTAGTTTATCTCTTAGTGGATTACGTTATCCTTCCGATGATGAAGATTAACGTGGATCTAATTCTGTGATCACACCGCACTCCACCAGATGACTACTCGTTCACAGATAATAAAGAAGTGAGAGTGTTTCATAGATAAGAACGTTAGGTTAGGTTAGGTTAGGTTAGGTAAGGTGAGTGTTTTAAAAGAAAAATGAGTAAATAATAATTTTTTGACAATAACGACAGAAAAACTGGTGCCATCTGGCGGATGATAGCGTTAACAATCCTTTTCAGAGCTCTACTTTGAGTTGACTACGTAGTTGTTTTTAATTTGATAGAAATTACTGTATTTGCTTACAGAGTACGGTTGTTTTTCACAACAATTCTCTTAGTGGAATAGAAAAGTTTAGGTATATATCCACAGATGCTAATGCTATATCTGTATCTGGGTAGAAAGATGCAGAAATCATATGGTATGATGTTAATATATCTACTTTTAATTTTATTTAGTTTAGTTATATTTGAATCATAAATTCATCTGCATTTATATATATATATATATATATATATATATATATATATATATATATATATATATATATATATATATATATATTAACTATGGTATTTTTACAAAATAAATTTATAATTCGGTTCTGGAATTCGAAAATTTTATGTGCCGCTCATGTCAATTGAAAAAGGTCAAATTGCTCCAATTTGCTGTAAAATCACATTTTGTAGAACAGATTTGAAGTATTTTACACGCCAAATGGAACGGAATAAGGAAAATCTTTATAAATTCATATTTAAAGCAGAGTTAGTGTGGCGATTTTTGACATATTTTATGACAGTAGATGATTTTTTTAAGCAAGTAGGTACCAATATTAATCAGTTGTAGTGATTTTCTACATCGTTCACAGTCAATTATAAAATTAAAATTTTTTTTGTGTTTTTTCTCTTGTTTAAATCTATCATTTTTTATAAGGAAAAATGAAAATGTTTTTTTGTTTCTTCTTAGTAACTGTCTAAGCAAATTTATACTTCACTTTACGCTTCACATGTCTTACAAAACAATGCGATTTAGATATATTTAAAAATCTAAAGAAAATCTGTCAAATTCAGTAGAAACCACAGAAACATAAACCAGTTCCTTAGTACACTTCATAAAACACTCAACATATGAAAATATAGATTTTTATACAGTCAATTTATATTTTACCACAATTACGCAGCTAAAACATCCACTTACCTTCAAGGCTTTGATCATAACCTTTGGTAAAGAATAACATAGCCTTTGCAGCTCTTTCCGGAGTTTTTAATAGTCCCTGTCGTTCTGGATTTTCCCCTAGTGATGCCAATAGCAATTTGTACGATCTCGACATTTCCGGTAACATGTCTTCTCTGGTGGGAGGACGGTGGTCTAATTCTAAATCGTGATGAAATGTGCAGTTCTCGTGACCTGGAACAAAATATTAAGTTATGAATGATCTCACAAAATAATAACGATAAACATTTTTCAGCTATTAAAGACAAAAATGAGCAAACTAACAAATTTAACCTTGTTTATAATCACCATTAACTGGACTGGTCCACATAATATGGACTGGTCCACAGATTTAACATAAAAGCAAGAATTTAATATAACAATCTCATCTCAGAAAACCAAAACAATAGTAGTCAGCAAAGAACCAACCATATGTAAAATACCATGGAATTACACTGTCCAGCTATGGAGACCTAGAACAAGAAGTGAGAGGTCAAGTACAAAAAGCAAGTAGACTGTCAGGATGCCTTTATAACACTATAAGGCGAAACAAACACATTAACAGTGAGATGAAGTCAAGAATTTATAAAGCCAGGATAAGACCAATAATGACATATGCCTCAGAAACAAGAGCCGACACAGCCACAACATAAAGGCTACTGGAATCGGTAAAGATGAGAGTACTCAGAGGAATTACAGGAAATACGCTGAGAAATCAAAGAAAAGTGAAGACATTAGCAGAAAATGGAAAAATGTAGCCTTCTTCTTCTTAACGTGCCCTATCAAGTCCCCTTGACGTTGGCGATTAACATGGCGAAACTGTCTCTGTCTCGAGCTATTCTAAAGAGAATGTAGCCTACAGTGTATAAACGAATGAACACTAAATAGAAAAAAAAAATGTAATGACCACATAAGTAGAATGTGGGGGGGGGGCGTGTCGTCAAAATAGCAAGGGATAATAATCAATCGGCAGAAGTATCGGTCAACCGCGCAAAAGATGGAGTGACAACCTTCCATAGAGGTATTAATTCGCCAATAAACAAGAAGAATTGCTTATAAAGAGAAAGAAGAAGAAGGAGACATACTAGTAGTTGTCGGTTTATAACGTTCTCCGCCGTTTTCTGACTTCCAGTCGCCACTTAGTCCGGGTGTTCCATAGGTGTTCTTCTATGGCCCTCAGTTCTTAATTTATTCCTTCGCTCCAACTCTTTCTCGATCTACCTCGTTTTTTCTTTCCTTCTGGTTGCCATTTTAATATTTCTTTTGGTATTCGTTGTTCATCCATTCTTTGTATATGTCCGAACCAGATAAGTTGTTTTGTTGTTAGGTCATCTGTGATTGTTCGTTTGTTTCTCATTATTTCTCTAATCCGTTCGTTGGTAATCCTTTCTCTTCTAGATCTTTCTGCGGCTCTTCTCCAAAAATCCATTTCCGTCGCTTTCAGCGATGCCAGTGTTCTTTCGAGATAGGAAATTTTTCGGGATAGGAAAAGATAGGATCGAATTCCACCCAAATGCTTGTAGAGATATAAATGATTGAAAAGAAGAATAAAAAACAATGATCTAATTCATTTTAAAATTAGCATTCGAACACCTTATATTTATTAATATTAGTATACCTACTTTTATAGTTAAAGTTTTAGTTCAAATAAAGATTTCCACGTTTTCTACATTAACAACAAAGTAATAATTATATAATGTAATGCATTATTAAATAACAATTATTTATACTTTGATTTATTCGATATACATTTATAATTATGTAATTTCCGCCTCTTACGTTTTAGTGGAAAATCCAATTATTAAAAATATATTAACAATAATTACTAAAAGCTATAAACAAATGACAAAGACATTAAATATATATATATATATATATATATATATATATATATATATATATATATATATTAATACACTATTGAAAAATGTGTCACAAACCAAAAATCTTTAAAATTAAACCAAAATATTTTCATTTGTTAAATATTTAAATATTTTTAAACCAAAATATTTAACAAATGAAAAAGTTTGTAATAATATAAAATAAATACAGTATTGTGCGAATTAATGGAATCACTGTGAATTTTTTTCATTTTTTCAATATTCACAGTTGGCAACACTACCTACACAGTTGACAGCCGACCAAGCATTGAAAACATAATCTTACTGTGTGTTGGTGTGTTTGAGTGTGTTTGAGGTCATTTCTTCCCAAGCTTGTGTTGTTTTGGGGGTTTTTGTACTATTTTGTGTTGTTTTTGGTTTTATTCCAACATGGATATTACGCCTAGGAAGCGTGAAAAGATTGTCACGTTGAGTGAACACACTAGTATGTCACAAAGAGAGATTGCTAGAACGCGTGGAGTGGGTCAGGGGGTAGTAAGCAAAATTTTGAAGCGTAAACGAGAAACGGGATCTGTGGATGTGAAAAGGTTAGAAAAATGTGGAAGAAAGAGAAAAAAAACAGCAGCAGATGATAGATTTTTACTTCGAAAGAGCAAATTGGACCCAAGAAAATCAAGCCAAGACCTACAACAAGATCTAGCAGCATCAGCTATAGTGATTCATGACTCAACTGTTTGTAGAAGACTTTTGGAGAATGGTAGAAGGGCAATTCGTCCACAGAAAAAACAGCTTCTAACTGAACGAATGAAGAAACAAAGGCTACTGTGGGCAAAAAATACTCTAATTGGACTGTAGGCGACTGAAAAAAAGTCCTATTTACAGATAAAACCCACTGTATAGTTTAGGGACAACGGTCGAAATTCGTCAGGATGTCTGACAATGAAAAGCTTACACCATCTCATATTGATCAAACCGTAAAACATCCAGTCAAGAAAATGTTTTGGGGATGTTTTTCATACATGGGGGTTGGATTTTTGGTGCCAATTGAAGGCATGATGAACAGCCAAAAATACAAATCCATGTTGGAAAAGTATTTGGACAAACAACTCCAAAAATGTCAACCCCAAGGAGGAGAGATTCCTCAACAGGACTCTGCTCCCTGTCACAAATCAATGGAAATGATGGCATTTTTCAAAAATAAGAAGATTATTGTTTTAGATTGGCCCGGTAATTCACCCGACCTAAACCCCATTGAAAATTTATGGGCCATTTGCAAAGCTAGACTGCAAAAAATCGACTGTACCACTAAAACAAAAATGATAGAAGCGGCCATTCAGGTTTGGTATCGAGATGAAAGGATATCTGACAACTCCCAGAAACTTATAGAATCTATGCCAAAAAGGGGGACATATTTCCTACTGAATGATGTAAGTTTACCTTTATAGTTTTGTCAAAATATAATTTTTTACTAAATAAACTGTTTTTTCATTAAAACAGCCTATGATTCCATTAATTCGCACAATACTGTAATATAATAAATTATTATCTTATTAATCTAAAATAAAGCCAGCAGTACAAAAAAGGTAGTAGAAGATTGAGATTAATATTATCAATGATGTCTATTTCTGACAAACACCAAAGCACTTCTTTAAATATCAAAAGCCACTAATAAAAAAACAATTATTTAAAATGCATCAGTATCAAGGTATTTTAATTAAAGACCCCATAACCGCTGCATGGACAGGAAATGATTGCGTCGATGGTACCTGCTATAATCCGGCCTCTATAAAGGGTCCTTTAAGCTATGGATGAGAAAGTGACAATATCTTGGCCACTTTATGAGAGGGGATAAATATGTGTTGCTACAAACCATAATGCGGGGAAAAATACAGAGAAAACGAAGTATTGGAAGAAAACGCATCTTCTGGCTCAACAATTTGAGAAAGTGGTATAATTGCAGTCCCATCGACTTAATCAGAGCTGCAATCTCAAAAGTGAAAATAGCTGGGATGATTACCAACATCCTTAGAGAAGATGGTACCTAAAGAAGAAGAAGAAGAAGTTATGGACAAGACTGCACCGGTAGCATATTTAATACTTACAGCACAATAATTATTAGGTACTTATATGCTATAGACGCATATATGCATCTATATTTTTTGAGTCTATTTTCTCGGAGAAATAACAAGACTCCGGGAATCGATAACATTGTTGTCCAAATACTTAAAATTAATCCGCATCTAACTGCTGAACTTTTGCTCCCCATAATCCAACAGGTGTGGGAAACAAGTGGAAAATATTATTACGCTTCCAAAAAAGGACAACACACACTGTTGTTGTGCACAAATTGGAGAGGAATAACCTTGTTTACCGCAATAAATAAAATCACGACCATCATACTTAAAAAATTAACAAACAATATTGAAATCCGTAAACTAATTTTCGAAACCAAATTCAGATTTCTGCTTTAATCTGTGCCTTCTAAGAATTGCAAGGCAAAACAGACGTTGATAAAGATATTAACGTTAAATCTTAACTGTCTTTTTTTTTAAACAAGATTGAATTTCGAGCTAGATAAGCAGGCTTTAGACCAGAATGCTCCTGCCTAGACCACATTAATACTGTGAGGGTAATAATGGCACAATCGGTTGAATGGAACCATATATATGGGTTTTGTTGACTTTCGAGCGTGCCTTTGATAGCTTATCTCATGCTGCTTTATGGAAAATTTTAGAGCTAAGAAACATTCTGCATAAAATATTTTCCATTATAAAGTCAATGTAGGCGAAATGCAGCGTGACACACAATGGAATCAACAACGAATAATTTGACATACTTATTGAACCAATAAAGTGGATTGAACACTGAAGTCAATAAAGTAGATTTGAAAATTAAAATTAGTAAAACCAAACCTGAGACTAAATGCAAGAAACAACACGCTATTTACTATCAACAACATAAAAATTGAAAATTTGGAAAACTTTAAATATCTTGGAAGTGTCATAACAGAAAGCGAAGGTATAGAGAACTAAACTAGAGGCACATTGAGAAACAGACAGTCATGTTTACATACAAAGAAGTTAAAATCTTTTTTGCCCTGGACACGTTTTGTGCCTTCAACAGAGCGTCTTATCTTCGCCTCCTCTATTTATGACTGTTACTCCAAGGTTCTCAAATTCTGTTATCTTCTCAAATGTATACTCTGTCTGTCTCTCTCTCTCTCTCTCTCTCTCTCTCTTATTCGTTCTTAGTGATCCATTTATTTTCTTCTACATTTTCCCCTCACATTTCCATATAATTGGTGTTTTCTTGATTTATAGTCAGGCAAACTTAAATACATATTTTGTTATACTT